TTCAGTCAGAAGTCTGTTTGATGTAAAGCTCCAGAAATTGTCAGATAATGTTTTCAAAGATGCAGATAGCAAAAATCCTAAATTTTGAAAACGAACTACTTTCTTCTTTCGAGGTACATGTATGTCATAACATCAACGGTGCTACGTCATCAAGTTATAAGTCATCAATTTGAATTAGCAATCATTCATGTAGTTTGGCAGAGGGAGTCTCAAAGTTTTCTTAAAACGAAAGTCGAATGAAATAAATAGAACATCTATAATTGTGTGATTTGATATTGGCTTTATCCAACTCGATGAAATGGTGTATATTCGCGAGGCTAGCCTCGCGAATATATGGATTACACCATCTCAACTCGTTAGATAAATCCAATATCAAATCACACAATATAGACATCCTCTACATGTCTCAATGTAAAATAAGATTGCCCAATGGCTCCACCACTACAGTCATTATTAAAACAAACCTGATCAGACAGATGATGCTTCCAATTTTATAAATATAACTGATTATGGTTGTAATAAGTATGGTGTCCCGATAGGGCCATTGCAAGAGTGTGTTAGCGAGTTAAAAACAACATGCTGGCGCATTAATGACAATGCACTAGCGCGAATTGTCATCAACATGCTAGCGCTATGACATAAATTCGCTTGTTTGTTGTATTCTAACAACACGAGCGCATTATTATCAACGCGCTTGCGCGTTAATGACTATACGCTATTGCTGTATTCTTGTATTGTTGTATACTTGTTTTATATTGTTGTATTCTTGTATTGTTGTATTAATGACGATGCGCTATTGCTGTATTTTAACAACGCACAAGTGCATTAATGACATTAATTCGCCAGCGCATTGTAATTAACGCACTTGCGTGTTGTTTCTTACGACGTGCTAGAGCATTAATGACAACGCACTAGTGCGTTGGTCACAACACGACTTTGCGCTACACACAACTAGTTGTCATTCACGCGCTAGCGCGTTGTCATTAATGCGCTTGCGTGTTGTCATTATCGAGCTTGCGCGTTGTCATTTACGCGCTTAAGGGTTGTTTCTAACGCGCTGATACACTTTTTCAATGGCCCTATCGGAACACCATAAAAAAGCTTGAGATTTTAAAAGATTTTTGCTACATTTTTCTAAGCACATGACTCTGATCCTACTGTTATGACCCCATCCAATCCCTTGGTCATGCCTTAAACAATTAAATTGAATCTACACTACCTGAAAAGGATTGAATATTAAATATGATTAACCCTGGCTTTGCTGGTCATGCTCAAAGATCTTTCAAGACAAATAAATTTCTATGTATAACATCGATACCCTATATCGCTTCAGTCCTATGCCCGGAGGTCATTAATTGAATATACACAATGTAAGAAGTTTTGTCGCTGAAGTATTCCGGAATTCACAGTATCGGCTATACAAGTCTAAATTTATGTTGATCTATTTTTGTCAATTAATCTGTACCAGATTTATTCGACTTCAGTTCTCTAACTCTCTTTTTTTAGTGAATTCTTAGCATTAGTTGGATACTCTAATTTGTGCATTTACATTGTAGTATACTTGTGTATATAATATTGTGTTTGTAGTGAATAAAATATTATTTGTTACCTGGTGTCCAACGAAATACGCTGGACGGGTTATCTACTTTATCCCAAGGGGACATGTAACACCTGGGGTCTAAGTAGATGGGGGAGTGCCGAGCACGCGGTTGGAACAGAACAAAAAAAGCTATATAAATAGGCAGACGTAGTTAGGTTTATGCAGACGTAGTTAGGTTTATTTGAATGTATATCGGTACTTGAGTTAGGAAGATTGGGGAAGTTAAAACTCTTTATTTCCTAGTATCTAACTATAATTAGACTATATGGTTGTTGGGATGTATTGTCCTGCTTTAACATTTGTTGATTCGTGGCCGTTGAGGGTACTGTTATCGGGTCATACTTAATTAAGCGTATGACTGTCGCTTTACGGTGTTTGTAAAGTGTTGTGCCGTGTGTCTTCTTCTATTGTGGATCTGTATCTGTCGGTAGAGCACTGGTTTGGTTTTAGCCTGCAGTTTCGTTAGCTTAGTATTTTTTCTTGGCATGTTCTGTAAATACGTTGAATATATTTTGATATTTGTATATTTTGGCAGTGCACATTAGTGTCTTAGTTCTGTCCCTAAGGTCTAATTCTTATTTATCAGTCCCGATCCCTGAGTGTTGTGGGGAGGCCGGTTTGGCTCTAATTCGTTCCCTGCACGTTACAGTTTTCACATATTTCATTTTTCTTCTGGCCAAGTTGTTTTTGAGAAGGGTTTTAAAAGATTCATCAAATTCATTATTTCCATTTCTTATAGTTCTCTCTGCATAGACGTGGGAACCTGGGGGGCTAGGGGCTTAGCCCCTAACTATGTTTTGCAAAAATAGACATTATATACATGTAGGCACTGAAAATTGGTTTAGCCCCCTTTTGATTAACCCCACCCACCACTTTCAATCTGCTTCCGACGCCCATGCTCTGTGATAACTCTATAAAGCTAGGTGAATTAATTTCTTGATCATTCAACCGGGATTTTAATTTCGTCGGGTGAATGGTCAGGAGCCTTATATGCTTGTCAAACTCGTGCGGCTACCTTTGTTTTAACTCCATTGGACAGGAACTATATTGGATGATGGATTTTCATTTTTTAGGACAATACAGTCTGTTTTATTACTATCACCTCCCCACTCTCTGTTGTTTTCTTAAACTCCTATTTTATCTAACCACAAAACATTACTAATTAAATGTATAACTTGCAAATTATTTTTCAATTTTTTGAAGTTGCTGATAAATGAATTTCAAAAGGTCATTCAAATGCATGAATATGCAAGTTGAGATTTTTTATACCAACCTGAATATCTCTTTGAGCAATCTTGATCTTCGTCTCCTTCAAGTAATAAATACAGCATAATTAAAATAAAAATATCATTGTACAAAAAAGGGGTTAGGGTTAGTTTGGGTGTGAGTATAAAATTTTATCAATTGACATGGAAATTAAATGGTATGCATGAAAAGCAATTAAAAAAATGAACAATTGATCACCATTTTTTGCTTTACAGCTGGATGACGAAACTTCATACAAAGTGACAGATAGGAGGATGATGTAAATGGTTTTCAGACTCATTTCAAACCTCTTCTTCTGAATTCTGCAAAATAAAAATGATGGAAATGGAGCTGAATATCAATTTGAACAATAAATGAAAGTGCTAAAACACAATATGGTAGATCATTAAAAGAATTTCAGAAACAAAACATAAAAATACTAAACAATATTTCAATAAAACAGCGTATGGCGTGGGTACACGATATGTGTTATGTAATAACATCATGTTGTTCACAGCAGCTCAAAGGCTTCTCGAGATATCGAGTGAATACGAAAGTGTAACAGACAGAGAGAAATACACCTACACGGTGGGACGAGCAGACGAACCGAAATTAATTTTATCTTTCCGTAGATGAAAAAGAATGGATATTCATATTTCCTTTATTCAGCGCTATTTTTTACCAAAACTATTTACAATATAAAATATTTAGATGTTTTATTGTTTTGAGAATGAAACTTGTTCTTCATAAATTCTTTAACTAAAGTGTTTTCAATTTTGTCCAATTGAAACAGCAATTGAAACTGCAGAATGAAGTTGCGGAAAATCGTTGAGAGAGAGAGAGAGAGTTGTCGAATTCACGTGTTCTATTATATGCTTTATTATTAAAAAGGGGGGGGTGTTAGACGATATTTTCTACTGTAATCAAACTTTCAAGCTTCATCATATTTTGAAATAGTCTTAAATATGATAAAATGTTTCTTATATCTTTTCTTATATTATACTCAAAATAAATAAAACACATACAAATTAATAAAATACTATTATAAAGTTGTAATTTGCTTTAAAATTAGTGAAAAATAAGCATTTTTGTAGGTTTTTTGTCTATAAATATATCCCCCCCCCTGTGAATCACAAAAAGCTTGGCATAAATTTGAAAAATGACTCTCCATATTACCTGTTAAGAGGAATTTTTGTTTCACGGGAGGGTGGGGGTGTTAAAAATATTTTCCGTTGATTTCTATAGTGAAAAACACAAGTTTTACCAAAATTATTCAATTCAATTTCTTTATTGATTCACCAAACTGTTGTCATACAACCTTGTTTCACATAAAAGACAAATAATAACATATATACATACATGCAAGTATATGGATCAGTGAAGTCAACTATGCAGAGTATAACAACTTGAAGATTAAACATAATCATTATGCAAGCAGTATAGTATGGACAGTGATGAGCTAATAAATGCATTAAATATATTATAATTGCGCTTTAATTTTGGAACGCAATTCAAAACATTCATATAAAAATTCACATAGCCTTCTAGAATGAACTGCATTGTCAGAATTACAAAATACTTTACAATGATTTTCTTTTAATACGTTATCGTTTAAATTACAGATGTTTAGAGGGCAGTACTTTTTTCGCAAATCTATATATAAGGGACAGTCATATATGAAATATATTTCACTTTCTACAAGAATTTTACAAAATTGACAAAAAACGCGATTCTTTTGGGATACAAGGCTTTGAATATCTGCCTACTTCAGTTTCTAAAGGATGTGCAGAGATTCTCAGTTTTGTTAATTTAGAACGTATAGCTTTATTCATTGGGTATTTTAAGTAGTCTTGTAATTCATAATTCTTTCTAATTTGACTGAAAAATAATAATTTACCACATTTGTAGAATTCAATGTTCTGAAGTTGCAAATTAACAATTTTTCTGTAAAAATTCTTCAAGCAGCTGCTGAATGTGTTATCAGTTATATCTAATGATGGAAGATTAAGTTTCTTTTTTAATTTATCAATCTGACATTGCCAATTATCCTTTACACCATTACTATATATAATGTCATCTTCTAAGGAAGCAGCAATAAGAATTTGATTTCTAGTGCCATTTTTATTCTTAACATTTTTGAGTAGAATTATAGAGTTATCTTTCTTTGTTTTCACAAATAAGTAATGTTTTATGAAATCAGAAAATCCATATAAATAATTATATCTTTAAAAATCTTAAAGTTAAATATCATTCAAATAAGTCAACTTTTGAAAATTGACTTGGGGGTAGGCAGGAGAATAAGACTATCATTCGCTTTTCTGTTATTCAATACTGACCTTTTTAAAAGTGTCATTTTTTACAGAGATAAACCACAGCAGTTGAATAGCGAAGATTATAAATTCTTCAAGTAGACATTCATAAATTGACCCAAGAATACCAGAATTTCTATCAATCTGGTTAAAACACCCCTGCTTATTGTTATTTATTAGTTTAAAATTATTAACATTAAAATTACCATAACCTTTGTTTTCACAGGATTTAAATACCGGATCCCGATTAAAATTGAACCCGACCTTAATATAAAAAATTAATGATTTTAATTATATATAGATAGGCCTATATAAATGATGTCGGACCAGGTAGGATAGCAAAGATAAACATTATATAGGCATTTATTGGATATTGGGGCGTAGGTGTAACCCCCCTTGACTTTTAACAGACACATTGCAGTGTATAGTAAAAGAAAGGTAATAGGTAGTGTTGAAAATTGTACTGAGAGAAGAGTTCCACACCCCTTCCACCAAAATAGGAATTAGGATTTTCGTGTTTGGAAGTGGAGAAATGTTCCTTTTTTTCTTTCTTTTTGCTCATCAAAACTACGAGTATGTACTTGGTTTATCTCCTAGGTACCTGCAGCTGCAGAGAAGATTTTCAAAAAAAAAATCATGTACTTTCACTATGAAATCAGTAGACCCCCATCCCCTACTGCAAAACCCTTCATGAAAACAGGAGCCAAAAAAATTTCAAAATTGTTGATAATAAAATCTTGAATTTAAGCATTTTTACTATATAATCAATATTGCCACCCCTAACACAGGAACCCCTGACCCATGAGCCTAGTAATAATAATTTTGGAAGAAGCACCTTTCTTCATCATCCCTAAGTACTTTATACATCGGCTTAATTTTCAGAACCCGAAAAGGAGATTTTCAAAGAAATAATGCACATCACAATACAATAAATTAAGCCTCGGTTCCTTTCTTGCAGAACCCCTTATCCTGGGTCCCCAAATTTCACGATTTTAGAGAGGCAACGTTCATCACCATAATTATGTGCCTCGATTATCTTTTTATATATAGGCTTGAGAGAGAAAAACGAAATTTTTAAAAGAAATTCAACATTTGGAATACCTAGGAGCAAAGAAGAAGATTTTAAAGAAATAATGTATTTTCATAATATATATTAGACAAAGCCCCACCTAAATATGCCAAGTTTGGCGGCTCGATGAATAGGAGAAGATTTTTAAAGAATACCTTAATATTTGGGATTTTTGTCCTATATACCGAAAAGAAGGATTCAAAGAAATACACAATTTTTGTTCCCTTCACACTTAGATAATATGCTATTTGCCAAAAGTGGTTGAAATAGGTTGCGTGGGTTTAGAGAAGCTGAAAATATGCAAATGATAAAGCGCATCGCACGACGCAAGATGCACAACGACGAATACAGAAAGCAATAGGAAAAACCCCTACATAAACAAATACATGGGCGCAGACATTTTGGACACCCAAGGTTGTGCGGAGGAGAAAATGCTAGCTGGCGCGTGATTGGTCAATAAGAGAAAAGACTTGTTATGTATTTGACAAGTGAAATAAAGTTGATAAAAATCTCATATCAAGACTTGGGTTTCTTTGAGGTATATAGGAGTTACAGGTAAAAATTTGAAGGGAGGGATGCACTTTGGTTAGAGATTTTCATTTGGTGTCAAACGCACCTAGTTGTAAACAAATGGAAATTGAAAGTAAAAGTGCAACGGCACGGTATATTTTTTCTGGCATTTTTTGTTTTCCAATATCTCGAACTTTCACGACAAAAAGACCATTTTCCCGAAATTCAATATATGTATCAGTGAGAGGTGCTAAAGTTTGTATGGAAGTCTATGGGAAAACATTTGGTGGTGTTTGTCCTATAGAAAAGGTAGAATTTCATGGATAAAAATTGATTACAGCCAAAAAATCAATCAGTTCCTATTTTTTCGGCATTGGGATTATATTTTAGTTAGTTTTGACTATTTGTTTAAAAATTAGAGGGTCTGGGTAAATTGGGGCTCACAATGGGGACTGCACATAGTGAAAAAATGCCAAACTTTTTGCCCTAGCTCTCATATTTTCAATAAATGTACATGTAAATAATTTTAAGTAAATATTTATACCGAAATTTACTGTGAATATTGTAAATAATACAATATCAATATTTATGGGCATCATCAATACACAAAACATATGAATATCCCCCTCGCAGTTTGAGAAATTCATTTAAATCCATGTATTTTATGAGTGTAGACATTGGAACAGATTGAGTAATCCTCTTTCAAATTTGTGTTAATCAGAGTTGATTGAATAATTTATAACAAAATTTGACTGCTGTTAGCTAATTAGGGTACTTTGTTTTTACATAAGGGGCATAATCCAGCAGAAAAGCCAGTTTCAGTCATGTAATCAGTGCTGGCTTGAAATAAGAGTTATACTATTGGTGAAACTTAGAGATTACTAGTAGGAAATTTAATTTAAATTACAGTACAATATATTCTTGCTGAAAATACATTGAAAATGCAATAAATATGCAAAATTATAACTGAAAAAATTATGAAAAAGGTGTCTGAATATCCCTCCTCCTTGCCATATCCAATCTTGATATTCTGCTGAAAGGGGGGGGGGGGGGTAATTTTGTGCTTTAATCATGCTGAAAAATGAAGGAATTTTGTTTAAATTTGCTTTATTTGAATAACAAGAGTCATGCTTATCTGCAGTTATTTTTTTTCCAATTTCTTTGATATTTTTAAAAATAATTATCTGAGTAAATTCTATTTAACATGATTTTTTTTAAAGGTATTACATCACAAATGCTTAAAAGAAATTCAAAAGATGGTGTAAATAATAAAAAATTAAGATATAAGCTGCTATATGCATTTATCAGTATGTTTTAATAAAATAAAATGTATTTTAGCAATGCATTATCAAGAAGGAAGAGATTAATGAACCCTACCCTCTTACAATTAACAAAACATGGACACTCTCGGGATGATCCTTTTGCTTTCATTAAGAGTTTCAAGGTATGGTTTTCTTAGAAAATCTAGTTAATCTCTTAATATTTAAGTTATTAAGAACTTTTTATAGATTATTAGAAAATAAATTTCCCCAGAACTGCAGTTATTTAAGCACTTTGCTTACAATTGAGCACTGTATTCAGTCAGACAATATGAGTTATCTGCCCTTGGCATTTAATCAATTTATTAATTATGTCATTGATAAGAAATAATATGCTAATAAATATATTTGCCTTTTATGAGAATATACATATTTAACATCAATTACATGAAATGATCATGAAAATTGGCTAAAATGTAGGTCACCCCCCTTCAAAATTACAAAATTTTCAATGGGGATGTATTTGATTCTCTGATGCCAGCAACCCACTGCTGATAGATTTTTTTTAAAATCTTATATACATTTGAACTAGATATAATTCTCTTTCTTTCCACTGATTATTCTATCTACATTAGTTTTCACTCTTTCCATAACCCAGCTTTTTCTTACAAAAACCTGCTAATTTTCTTCATTTTTCATTAATAACGGGTACCTGCTACCCTGAATGATTAACATGATCTACCTTCAGAAATTATTAGAGATAATAAGAAAAACAAGCAAAACATAAGCGAAATTAATCATTTTATTTTAAAAGTTTGAAAGAAAAATAGAGAAATGCTTCAATTTATAGACATTTTTTCTGTTTCACAGATGTGGGTCTGATTGACTGGGGTGTGAAATGTAACAGCCAATGGTGTACTTAAGCTAAGACTGTCAGTCCCAATATTCAAGAGGTGAGATAAGCAATGGATATGTGTTCTAAATTTACTAAATTGACCACTTTTTATAAATGTTTCTTTTACTCTATAGGAAAAACCCCTACATAAACAAATACATGGGCGCAGACATTTTGGACACCCAAGGTTGTGCGGAGGAGAAAATGCTAGCTGGCGCGTGATTGGTCAATAAGAGAAAAGACTTGTTATGTATTTGACAAGTGAAATAAAGTTGATAAAAATCTCATATCAAGACTTGGGTTTCTTTGAGGTATATAGGAGTTACAGGTAAAAATTTGAAGGGAGGGATGCACTTTGGTTAGAGATTTTCATTTGGTGTCAAACGCACCTAGTTGTAAACAAATGGAAATTGAAAGTAAAAGTGCAACGGCACGGTATATTTTTTCTGGCATTTTTTGTTTTCCAATATCTCGAACTTTCACGACAAAAAGACCATTTTCCCGAAATTCAATATATGTATCAGTGAGAGGTGCTAAAGTTTGTATGGAAGTCTATGGGAAAACATTTGGTGGTGTTTGTCCTATAGAAAAGGTAGGATTTCATGGATAAAAATTGATTACAGCCAAAAAATCAATCAGTTCCTATTTTTTCGGCATTGGGATTATATTTTAGTTAGTTTTGACTATTTGTTTAAAAATTAGAGGGTCTGGGTAAATTGGGGCTCACAATGGGGACTGCACATAGTGAAAAAATGCCAAACTTTTTGCCCTAGCTCTCATATTTTCAATAAATGTACATGTAAATAATTTTAAGTAAATATTTATACCGAAATTTACTGTGAATATTGTAAATAATACAATATCAATATTTATGGGCATCATCAATACACAAAACATATGAATATCCCCCTCGCAGTTTGAGAAATTCATTTAAATCCATGTATTTTATGAGTGTAGACATTGGAACAGATTGAATAATCCTCTTTCAAATTTGTGTTAATCAGAGTTGATTGAATAATTTATAACAAAATTTGACTGCTGTTAGCTAATTAGGGTACTTTGTTTTTACATAAGGGGCATAATCCAGCAGAAAAGCCAGTTTCAGTCATGTAATCAGTGCTGGCTTGAAATAAGAGTTATACTATTGGTGAAACTTAGAGATTACTAGTAGGAAATTTAATTTAAATTACAGTACAATATATTCTTGCTGAAAATACATTGAAAATGCAATAAATATGCAAAATTATAACTGAAAAAATTATGAAAAAGGTGTCTGAATATCCCTCCTCCTTGCCATATCCAATCTTGATATTCTGCTGAAAGGGGGGGGGGGTAATTTTGTGCTTTAATCATGCTGAAAAATGAAGGAATTTTGTTTAAATTTGCTTTATTTGAATAACAAGAGTCATGCTTATCTGCAGTTATTTTTTTTCCAATTTCTTTGATATTTTTAAAAATAATTATCTGAGTAAATTCTATTTAACATGATTTTTTTTAAAGGTATTACATCACAAATGCTTAAAAGAAATTCAAAAGATGGTGTAAATAATAAAAAATTAAGATATAAGCTGCTATATGCATTTATCAGTATGTTTTAATAAAATAAAATGTATTTTAGCAATGCATTATCAAGAAGGAAGAGATTAATGAACCCTACCCTCTTACAATTAACAAAACATGGACACTCTCGGGATGATCCTTTTGCTTTCATTAAGAGTTTCAAGGTATGGTTTTCTTAGAAAATCTAGTTAATCTCTTAATATTTAAGTTATTAAGAACTTTTTATAGATTATTAGAAAATAAATTTCCCCAGAACTGCAGTTATTTAAGCACTTTGCTTACAATTGAGCACTGTATTCAGTCAGACAATATGAGTTATCTGCCCTTGGCATTTAATCAATTTATTAATTATGTCATTGATAAGAAATAATATGCTAATAAATATATTTGCCTTTTATGAGAATATACATATTTAACATCAATTACATGAAATGATCATGAAAATTGGCTAAAATGTAGGTCACCCCCCTTCAAAATTACAAAATTTTCAATGGGGATGTATTTGATTCTCTGATGCCAGCAACCCACTGCTGATAGATTTTTTTTTAAATCTTATATACATTTGAACTAGATATAATTCTCTTTCTTTCCACTGATTATTCTATCTACATTAGTTTTCACTCTTTCCATAACCCAGCTTTTTCTTACAAAAACCTGCTAATTTTCTTCATTTTTCATTAATAACGGGTACCTGCTACCCTGAATGATTAACATGATCTACCTTCAGAAATTATTAGAGATAATAAGAAAAACAAGCAAAACATAAGCGAAATTAATCATTTTATTTTAAAAGTTTGAAAGAAAAATAGAGAAATGCTTCAATTTATAGACATTTTTTCTGTTTCACAGATGTGGGTCTGATTGACTGGGGTGTGAAATGTAACAGCCAATGGTGTACTTAAGCTAAGACTGTCAGTCCCAATATTCAAGAGGTGAGATAAGCAATGGATATGTGTTCTAAATTTACTAAATTGACCACTTTTTATAAATGTTTCTTTTACTCTATAGGAAAAACCCCTACATAAACAAATACATGGGCGCAGACATTTTGGACACCCAAGGTTGTGCGGAGGAGAAAATGCTAGCTGGCGCGTGATTGGTCAATAAGAGAAAAGACTTGTTATGTATTTGACAAGTGAAATAAAGTTGATAAAAATCTCATATCAAGACTTGGGTTTCTTTGAGGTATATAGGAGTTACAGGTAAAAATTTGAAGGGAGGGATGCACTTTGGTTAGAGATTTTCATTTGGTGTCAAACGCACCTAGTTGTAAACAAATGGAAATTGAAAGTAAAAGTGCAACGGCACGGTATATTTTTTCTGGCATTTTTTGTTTTCCAATATCTCGAACTTTCACGACAAAAAGACCATTTTCCCGAAATTCAATATATGTATCAGTGAGAGGTGCTAAAGTTTGTATGGAAGTCTATGGGAAAACATTTGGTGGTGTTTGTCCAATAGATTGCCCTAAAATAACTGAAGCGACGAGATTCTCAAAATAGAGTGTGAAAGTAAAACGAAATCGCGAATTATACAATCCGTTCACTCGGACTGACAATAACATTATAACGAATTACCAAACTCTGCTGGTGACCTAAAAAATATTTATCTGAATTTCCTCCAAATGAGTATTTTAAAAAAATTTCATAAAATGCTCTGAAATCTTAACTCACATATTGATTGTTCCGAAGATCTGTTTCTTCTCAAGAATTGTTCAGCTACTGATGTGGCACACTCCACGTCCTGTCAAAAATACAATAATCATCAGCTTCTTCAGGATTTGATCATGAATGAAAACCATGCATATCCGCACCGAAATCTTTTTATCATAATGGTTCTCATTTACTCACGCAATATGTGCCGTTTTGGGGAGAAAATGATTAATTGCAATAGTCGATAAGAATCGATCGTCTGTTATATACTTCAAACTGATGTACTTTCATTTCTACATCTTTTTGGAATTTTCCACGTACAAAAATGGCTTTATTTTAATGACAACGTTTCGAGATTAGATCAATGTATTCTAACTATAGCTTTGGAAATACCTGCATGTCGTTTGCTAAATATAACATAATAACAATACATTACTGGAGTCACAAGTTAATAGCTTTTTAAATAGCTTGCCTGACTCAATTAATCAATATCTACATGATGGAGTGAAAACCTTTCAAGCAAGACTTTTGTGGGTTTAAAATATGTCCTTATTTTATATTTTGAAAACTTTCTGTAAATGAAATCTTTGTTAACATCTCTACAATGCATACTAAAGAGTTGTTATTCTGTTAGGGGTTGTCAACAAGAGGAGTGATCTGCCCAAATTTCACAATTCTAGAGAGGCAACATTCATCACCATAACTATCCGCCTATTTTTATATACAGGCCTGAGGCAGATAAACGAATATTTTAAAGAAAATTTAAAATTTGAAATACTCAGGAGCAGAGAAGAAGATTTTAAAAAAAAATTATGTATTCTCATTATATATATTAGACAAAGCCCCACATAAATATGCCAACAGTTTGGCAGCTCGATGTACAAGAGAAGATTTTTAAAGATTACATCAGTATTAGGTGTTTTTGTCCTGCCCAAGAGAAAGACTCTAAGAAATTCGCAATTTTTGTTCCCTTCATACATGGGTATATAAATCATGCTGTATGTCAAAATTGGTTGAAATTGGTTGAGTGGTTTCAGAGAAGAAGCTGAAAATTTGTAAATGATAACGCGCATCGCTCGACGGTAGATGCACAACGACGTAAACAGAAAGCAATAAATCGCCCTAAAATAACTGTGAAGGGACAAGAGATTTTCAAAAAGTAGTGTGAAAGTAAACCGAAATCAAGAATTATACAATCTATTCTCTCTGATTGACAGAAATGTTAAAAATAACAAAACTCTGCTGGTGACCTAAAATATATATTTATATATCTCAATTCCCTCCAAATGGATATTAAAAACATATATGTCATGAAATACTCTGAAATCAACGCTTAACTCACATATTAATTGTTCCGAAGATCTGTTTCTTTGAAGAATTGGTCAGTTACTGATGTGGCACACTCCACGTCCTGTCTAAAAATACAAATACAATAATCATCAGCTTTTTCAGGATTTGATCTTGAATGAAAATCATGCATGTCCGCACCGAAATCTTTTTTAACATAATGATTCTCATTTACTCACGCAATATGTGCAGTTTTGGGGGAGAAAATGATTAATTGCAAAAGTCGATAAGAATCGATCGTCTGTTATATACTTCAAACTGAGGTAGTTTCATTTCTACTTCTTTCTGGAAATTTTCCAAGTATACAAATGGCCTTATTTTAATGACAACTTTTCGAAATTAGATCAATGTATTCTAAATTTAGCTTTGGAAATACCTGCATGTCTTTTGCTAAATATAGCATATAAGAACAGTACATTACTGGAGTCATAATTTATTACCAGTACATTTGCATCAAAACATTAGGCTGTGCAAAAATCAATAGTTGTCCGAATACTGTCTGGACTCAACTATCATATTAAACTAAAAACTTGTAATGAACAGTATCAAATAATAGAAATTAAACACACACACATACAAATTCTCTCCCTCACCTACACACAACTTCATTAAACGCCAGTAGTTCATAAAAGAAGAAAAAAAAACGTTTTGGACAGAAATTTTAAGACAAGAGAATTATAAATAAGGTTTTATTTCCGGAAACATTCTTAGAATAGGAAAAGAACTCATGAAGACAGATTAAATCCAATCAAACATTTTTTATGATGATGTTGTCCATGTTGTCCATAGTACTTCTAAAATCGATATTTGGAATTTTTATTATATTTTTCTGTTTATCAGTTATCCAAGTGCCTATAACTACCGAGTGGTGTTTGATGTGCATTTGAAGAATCATTGATAACGATATCAATTAACAGGACAATTGTTTCAACTTATTAGCAAAATAATTAAGATATTACTAAGTATCGCTTTTGTAAGATTAGTCATAGATCATTGCAATGAACAAATCATTCTGTAAAATCATATGGTAAAATCAATTTCAAAGCTGAAAATTATAAGTTTAATATACCATTAGTAATAAAATAATTTCTTGAATAACATATTACATGAAAGATTAAGATATAAATATATTATATAATTAGGAACGTTATGAAATTGAGGTCAGAAATTGGAAGGAGAGAAAAAACAACTTAAAAAACAATAGCGGGCACAGATGGCACAGCCACAAAAAGCGCCTGCCGCTCGCGAAGAGAGCTTAATAAACACAAGATGAAACACATCCTTTAAGCTTGGCTAAATGGTGACTTTAGGTTCTTTATGATGGTTTAATGGTTGTCTTTAAGTCCCCATAAGGCACCTTATAGTACAATTAATTACATAATAATTACACCATCATAAGCGATCTCGAAGTCCTTAACAAGTGCTTAAATGTAGCTTAATGGTGGCTTACAGGTGCTTAATAGTAGCTAATTAAAGACCACCATTAATTAGTCACCATAAAGCCACTATTTAGCAAAACTTATACGTAAACGCAGTTTTCTGTTTTCGTCTTTAACACTACATTACAATCATGTTCTTTTTATCCTTATCATCATCTGTGATGATTTAAGTGAATAGTAGTGATCATGCTAAATCAGCCAGTTTAAACCTTGCGCATACGCATCGTTTCCGTTAGATTACTGGCAGAGCATGCTGCATACCACCAAGCACCCACACAAAACTGTGCACAATTAACAATGTTATGTACGTCGTTATTCGTCCGAGGCGGACTTTTTTAAAATTATATAGTATACGATATTTAACACACAATGTTATGTGTAAATGTACCGACTTTGGAAAAAAAAATACGGGATGAAAAAGAGTCAATGAGAAAGGGAAAGCCAAAAAAAGAGTAAGGAATAACTGAGAGAGTAGAAGACGAGGAAGCGAAAAAATCTTTTCATTTTTCATGAATATATGAAATAATTTATCCGCAGGTTTAGTTTCACTTTCACACACCGCTGTCATTCAAATCCAGCTTTACTTATATTGGCGTGCTACCGATCGATTGATTGTATACTGTTTAACGTCCCTTTCCAGAATATTTCACTGATATGGAGACGTCACCATTGCCGGTGAAGGGCTGCAAATTTAGGCCTATGCTCGGCACTTACTGCCTTTGAGCAGGTTTAGTTTCACTTTCACACACCGCTGTCATTCAAATCCAGCTTTACTTATATTGGCGTGCTACCGATCGATTGATTGTATACTGTTTAACGTCCCTTTCCAGAATATTTCACTGATATGGAGACGTCACCATTGCCGGTGAAGGGCTGCAAATTTAGGCCTATGCTCGGCACTTACGGCCTTTGAGCAGGGGCTACCGATCGAGTATACCGGTTAACATGTAATCGAAAGTGCTCATAATCTGATCTTGCTTAAAAAAATTTAATTGGAAGATTAACAAATCATATTTTTGTGTTAGAAATTTATTTAACTGTAAATGCGATTTGACAGCGTCTATATTTATATATAACTCGAGTACAGAAGTTTTGCTCTTTTTTCTCTCTCTCTCTCTTTCTCTCTCTCATTATAATGATATGTAGAAGAATGACAATAAATTACACGAATAATCTTGCAACATGCAACAAGATGTTAAAAGACAAACACTAACTGGTTTGAGAATCATATATTTATGCAAAATTTTAGTCAAAATAATGGTATTTATTAAAAAGTACGCTGCATAAGACATGATCAGCTATATAAATATTAGTACTGAATGTAGCGTGTAGGTCTTACTGACGTCATAAGCAAAGGGAGATAAGCCGCGCTAGTTGAAGTTCAGCTTCGCAGTAAAGTAACTTTGATCGACTCTGCTTCCTCCAACTTGCGTAAAAAATCCAAAATGTTATATCAGGCTGATTAGTATTGCTCAGATGAACTTATTTCCGTATACAACTTAAAATACTCAGGACATTGTTTCGTATGACCTTTAAGGATGAAGTGGGTACATCCCTCTTTTTTTAAGAATCTTAGGAAAGTAGTGCTGGTAAATTACAAGTTTATTTAATTGTAGACTTGCATAAAAAAAATTATGAAGATATACTAAACTGAGCCTCATACTTGTTGATAAGTAGTATTTTTCAAACCAAAATAGCCTGGCAAATGTAATTTATAAAGAAGATCAGCCAAATTATTATGTGTATTATAACGCCAGTGAGAAGTCTGAAATTCCCCTACGTACTTTCACTTTCATTTTCAGAGGTTCCCGGAAACAGAAAAACGGAAAACGATTCTGACATGCAACCATGAGATTTTAGCCAAGGACAGATCACTCAGTGCTGAACAAAAAATAGGGACATCGCTTTGAAAAGAAGTAAGCATTATCGTCTATGGGAAAACAATTAGTGAACTGTACTCATGAGGTAAAATGTGTTAGGTAAAACTGAGCATCTAAACAGCTTACTAGTAATTAGGTAAAACTGAGCATCTAAACAGCTTACTAGTAATTCGAAGTACAATTGTTCCTCTTGATTTTCCCCCGAATTTTTCTTGTATGTTGAGTCGTTGTCAATAATGTTAAATAAGAAGGTACAGTTTCAATACAAATAAAGCCCTATATTTTTCTAAAATATGAAACTGAAATAAGAAATTAAAATTCATTCTTTCTGAATAATAGGACTTCTCTGCAGTAAGAATACACAAATGAATTTTCTCATATGACCTCCTAAATGCTAATTATGACGTCATTAACTTGTGCATTTTCCCGTATTTTCTTAAAAAGTTGCAGAAGACATCAATTTTCAGTGGAATTTTCTATCAGAAAACATACTCTGCCAGCGTCGCCCGGAAAGATTTTGATATGTGTGATTTTTCATAGCTGTTTGCACAATATATCCAAAAATTAAAGCGGGCGACGGTGGCAGACACTATTTTCTAAAGGAAAATTAGCAGAAAAACGAGTCATTTTGAAGCTTTTCTGCATTAAACTTAAAAATGTACCAAATTAATGACGTCATATTTCCAGAAAGGTTCTTCTTCATGCCATATTCTTTAATGATTTATCATATTCATCTACTTAACTATTGTTGAAACCAATTTCATAAATTTTTAAGAACATTAAATTTTTAAGGCAAAATAAAGCTCAAACCGTACCGTCTTTTTTATGTGAAGTGCTAAGTACATGTATTAATCTTTGCACATAACTTGTGTATTTCTTTGTTTAACAAGAGGGTTCGAATCGATGTAATTCGTTGCAAATGTGCAATGCACAACAAAGACATTTTGAACTGATGTCGGTTTGACATCTAATGTAAAAAAAAATAAGATCTGTAACGTGTAAACCTACTGGGTTCTACAAGGGACAAGGGTTTTTTTTTAAATATATATATATATGCTTTTCCTCTTACTCTATTTGAGTTATTATTGATTGGAACTATGTACAATTAATTTCAATGGTAGGCTGTGGTTCCTGAGCAAGGTAACATGCACTGTGTTCCTGCAACAGCCAGCGTTACTATTGTTAAGTGACGTACCAGGTCCTTTCACCCTTACACAGAATTACTTCGCCCTGGTACCTCACCACAATTCCTCTAGACTGTTCTCTTTCCACAAATGCGCTTCTAACCTTTGCTTCATTATTTCTCACTTAATGACTTTATTACCACGCGCTTTATTCTTCTGTTTTCTTCTTCTAATCTCTACAACTGATTCCGTCAGAATAATTGCTTGGCAGCTGCCAGCGTCTCATTTATACACCTACGAACCATTCTTTTTACTCAGAGGGGTGATCAGCCTATTGGAAGAGTTCACTTTCCAATATCCCCTCTGATTCGACTATAGTAGGCATGGCCAAATACGCTACCCATTACACTACCCACGCCTCCATGAACATGCGTCTCGCCTGTCAAATGATCAACGAACTTAAACTTTTTTTTTACTTTTCTTATTAGTAGACAAACATACAAAGTTACATATATACATGGATACAGTTTGAACAAGGGGGATATCTTTCATTAAATTAAATTAAAAATACTTCTTGTATCTTATTAAGGAATTTGTACACAAAACTGTTTCAAGTACTGTTTTTATTTTTCTCATATTCTCATGCGTTCCATACTTCTTCCTCAAACTTCGCAATACTTTCTCCGTCTTTCTGGTATCTTCTGATGACCCTTACTGTTTTCTTGTTACTGCCTCCATCAGTTTGTACACCAACGTCGCTCTTAGAACTCAGAGTCTTGCAACATGGACAATGGAATGGTAGCGAAGCTGCACTTGAATCCTCAGAATTGTCTTTATCCAAAATACTTTCTGAAGATGTATATGGGACTGGACTCTCTTCCACAATTTTTCTCTTCATTCCAGGTAAGCAAGGTGGTGTTGCTTTCCTAATGGTTCTTCCAGATTCAAGGTTGGGATCAAAGATGAGTTCTCCTGGATCCTGCTGCCATGCCAAGTCATCGTCCGTTTCTTCAATCACGACAGCCACACAGCTAGTAACAGTCGCAGATGTGTTTGCTGTAGGTGTAGTGTGTACTCTCTTTTGATGTCTGACGAGAAGTGACGGTTTTGAAAGGCTTTATCACAAAGGCTACACTCGTATTGTCTTTTCTTCATGTCCTCAGATACACAAGTGATGAGATGTTCTCTCAACTCTTCATGCGATGGAAGTCGATGAAGACAAATGGAACACATGAACCCTGGATTCCTTGGAGATATAGAAACAGTTTCCTCCATACTCGCACGGAAACATCCTATGTGCCCTTTTAACAAAAGTTCTTGTACGGTGTCTCCAATATACATCTTGGTAGATGTCACATCTACCAAGCATTTATTCCACTTTAAGAAATCTAAACCAAGGATACCTTCTGCACTAATATCGGCAACTATTACCTCAAAGTGAAATTCACATGTTTCGAAACTTATGTGCATATTGCATTTCCCTTTTACCTTTAGCAAAGTCCCATCGGCTAGAATGATGTTCTGGGTAACGGAAATAAGTTCATTTCGGTCTTCTTTGGTAATCTTTTTGAAAACAGTATCTGAAATTATTGTCAATGTAGCTCCCGTGTCTACAAAGAAATTACATGGTATCTTATTCACAAGTGCATTTACAAAAAGACCGACTTGTATATCCATTCTGGTTTGTGTGAGAGAACTTGTGGCTCCTTTGGTACCCTGGACATCTTTATTCGTCCTTCCAGTTTGTTTTACACTATTGCTAACTGCAGACCTCTGTACTTGGTTCTTGCCTTGGTCACCAGTCACCTTGTTCTTTGCAAAACAGTTCTTTGCTTGGTGTCCTCTTTTTCCACAGTTGTGACACTTGTATGGAAAATTACTTGTAGAGGGAGGATTTTAAGTGATTTGGGTCTCGATCGCCGAATTCTTAACCTCATGTCAAATCAGTGAGAGCGTCAACAAACTGATCTTTTGCTATCATTTCAGTCACCTCACATGGAGCTATGGGGTATGCTAAATGACTCAACCTTCGTATGCTCTCATCTAGCTCAGGCAAGGTTTCCTCTGGTTTTTGACGCTTCTCCCGTAACATTGCTCTATACAGTTCCGTCTGGTTGGCTGGGGCGAACCTTGACTCCAGTGCCTCACATAGATCCCGATATGCATATGCATTATCTGGTCGCATATTACCTAATACCGTCTGGGCTTGTCCCCGTAAGGATGCGGCAAGGTACACTCCCTTCTGTCTCGGGTTCCACATGTTAAGTTACTGCATGCATCAAAATGCGCCCTATAGGCTATCCATGAACTATTTCCATCAAATGTAGCCGGTTTCATCACAGTCTTCCCAAACTGTTCACTACTGGTGCTTTGGTTTGGCATTACTTCGGGTCCCCTACTTTGGTATACACTAGCAAGTGGACTACTGTCTTTTGTGAAGCTCCATGTAACACTTGTTGGAGTTGTCGTAGACTTGGTTTCCGGTAATTCAAAATGTGGCCTAGGTGTAAAAAATCTATGGTAAAATTGATAATCTTTCTCAAGAGACCCCTTGCTCCGAGTGTCTTTGTGCAGGTCATAACTACCATCCTTTGGTCGATCACATCGTTCATCTGGATTGACAGAGGTATATTTCGGAGTTTCCCAACCTCTGTAGTTAGCCGCTGTAGTTCCTGTATTACGACTGTAGGTACTACTGATGGGTTAAGACGGACGTAAATATTTTTTGAAAAAGCTCATCTACTGTATCGTCTACGTTTTCCTGCTTCATGTCTACACCCGAATCTATGATCACAGAAAATGGGGGTTCCTTGAATTTTTGTATGAACGGTGTAGATCTTAAAGTCTCTAACGTTTCCCTAAGTTTTTGCCTCTTTTCATCTATCTCCTCGAGATCCCCTAAGATTTCCCTTTGCAATATCGGTATATTCATCTTAACAGTACAGGGATTTTCTTAAATCTAACACTTTACACAACAGTTCTGTACACTGTAACAGATACCCAGTACCCTTAATCACGAAACAGAACACGGTTCTCGGTACAAAGTAACCGAGTACACAGGACACAGTACCCTTGTACAAAGTTCTTTCTTCTATACAGGTACAGTGTCACGGATCCTAAAATGCACGTGGTACCATCACGGCACTTGGTCTTTTCTGAACAGCCTACCCCAAACAAGTAACAATTGCAAAAACAAGAATTTTCTACAAAATAGTATTAAATCTAATGAAAATCAAACTAAATTAAATACCCTATCCCTTGACCGGCTGCCACCAAAATGTAATGTGTAAACCTACTGGGTTCTACAAGGGACAAGGGTTTTTTTTAAATATATATATATGCTTTTCCTCTTACTCTATTTGAGTTATTATTGATTGGAACTATGTACAATTAATTTCAATGGTAGGCCGTGGTTCCTGAACAAGGTAACATGCACTGTGTTCCTGGAACAGCCAGCGTTACTATTGTTATTAAGTGACGTACCAGGTCCTTTCACCCTTACACAGAATTACTTCGCCCTGGTACCTCACCACAATTCCTCTAGACTGTTCTCTTTCCACTAATGCGCTTCTAACCTTTGCTTCATTATTTCTCACTTAATGACTTTATTACCACGCACTTTATTCTTCTGTTTTCTTCTTCTAATCTCTACAACTGATTCCGTCAGAATAATTGCTTGGCAGCTGCCAGCGTCTCATTTATATACCTACGAACCATTCTTTTTACTCAGAGGGGTGATCAGCCTATTGGAAGAGTCCACTTTCCAATATCCCCTCTGATTCGACTATAGTAGGCATGGCCAAATAAGCTACCCATTACAGATCTTACTAGTTTATAGCGTCTGCAGAGCTCACAGACTTGCCTAATATACTTGTTATTTTTTCTTGTCACACATTTTAAAGCATGTATCGTGGTAAAACTTTATATTAAAGACACCAGTATCGAACAGACCAATCTTTTATATTATTACAAGGAGGACATAAATTGTTTTGTGATATTGTTTTAAGTTGGTTACTTTAGAATATTTTTTGCTGTATATAACTCAACATGTTTTGTTTTAGAGATTGTTTATTTCATTTCTAAAAAAAAAATTCTTTATTTGCTAAAAGCAGTTCTATGAACTTTTAATTTTATCTTTATTTCATCTCTACTTTTGCTTTTGATCACTCAAAACCTGTACAGTTCCTATCACATTCATGAAGAAGAACCCTAAGATTATAACATTTACAATACTATTCTCCTACTGGCAAATATACTCTGGTTCCATTAAAATTTGAAAATGCTGTAATACAATATGCCGTCAAAATTCAATGAAGCAGAGCAAAATTAATTTAGATAGATATTGACCGATAGATAGACGAACGAGGAGGATATAGCCCCTTCCTGATTTACATGTACCATTTGGTGTATTTGTTGTGCATCCAAGTTGATTTAGTCTTTAGATTTGTTTCATAACAGTTGATAGTTGTTATTCTATTTCAAACAGAAATATTCTTGAATTTTTCTTCAAACTACTCAGCAATATGAGAATGAGATTTTAGATCTGAATTCCATCTTGCTTTCTTATTAGGAGTGTTACAATTTGTTCAGCTTATTAAAATGGAATGAAGTTTCTATATAACGTAAAAAATGTGCATTCATAACAATGAATTTATTTGGCATCAATTATTTTCAAAAAATGAATCTAAAGAAAATAAAGAGCAAATATTATCATTAATCTCAATATCCAAATCAGCGACTAACAAAAGAAAAAGTTGAACCAACTGCTAGTGTTCCTGCGGCTAATAGAACACTACCCATTGTAGAGACGATCTCTGAAAGTAATCCCTCTTCTTGTTGGTTGGCATAGATGATGTTTATTCGAGATTTAGATCTTGCTGCATGTATAAAACGCAGGACTTCTTCCTCGGTGTACATCTTTTCTTTGGTCTTTGACTTTTCAGGTTCTTTCCTTTCATTTTCTTTAATGATATCTTCAACTCGTTTAAACATAGCATTGCTGTAGTATGCTTGACCGTTGCTCTTTCCCATTTTCTTGATCATAGATAATATGTGGCGTACTTCTTTCTCACGATCTTCCTTTCGACCTTTATATCCGATGGCCGTAGACCTCCCCTGTATTTCATCAATTAGAACTTTAATGTTGGAATCCTTATCCATTGTACGAACAAAGTCTTCAATACTCATACCGTCATCTTCTAGTCTGCCTTTATGAGTAAATACTACGATTAAAAAGTTTTTTAATTCTTCTCCAAAAACGTTCATATAAAACTCTTCAGTTTTTTGTTCTTCATCAAAAAATCTTCCAACTTGAAGTACTAATATTATGGCATGAATTCCGGGGGAAGCAAGAGCATACCATTCTGACATTTCTACAAGAGTTTCCGTTACCGTTCGATTTATATCAAAAAGACCAGGAGTGTCTATGACGACCGACTTTTTGCCGAATCTCTCTGGTTCGTTGTATTTTGTATTGGTTGTCACAGATGTTGCAGAAACTTTGGTATCAAATGCAGGAAATCTTAGTATGGTGTTGCCGGTGGTACTCTTACCAACTCCAGTCTTTCCAATAAGTAACATCCGTATCTCGTGATCAGCATCTATAAAATAGGATTTTTTTAAAACTTTACCTAGAAATAGAAACACCTGTTTAAATAATGCAAAATATGAATTAAAAATTTCTTTTGGGATTGGACTTATATAAATTAAAACTTAACAAGCATTTTATGACTTAAAAAAAATCATTCAAACTACTTAAACGGCAAACTTTCTGTGCATAAACTGTATTTATAAGTACATGTATATAAAATGATTCTGACTTCCTCATCTTGGTCCATTTTAACTACATGTAACTGCAAAAAATCTTTTTATATCATCCCCCAAAACTCTTAATCAGAAGATGAATACCTCTATCTTTTTTAATTTGTAAAGCATATCATGAGTAGCCGAAGAACTCAAATTTCTCTCCTATCTTCACATGCGTAATCACGAGTCTGAGTCCCGTTGTTGTATACTCCTACAAGTAAGAGCCTCGGTTAACGTCCCTACACTCCTTATATACCTCGGACTCTTACATCCGAAGGCCATTTTCTAACGAGCTCGTTCCGCCTCAGATTTTGGGCGGAACGTATTATGCGTGAAATAAACTGTTAACAAGTAATTATCAGGTACCTCCGTGTTTGCATGGGGTAAGAAAGTCACAAGAAATAATAAAATCCATTTTATTCAGTGTGCGTTATTGTTAATTAATAAAAATTGTCATTATTCCAATTTGTCACCAGAAGTACTTTCGATTTGACTTTACATTAATTTTGCGGATTGCTTGACAGAAAACGAAATTTTCGTTGCATTACACCAGTTTCGTTTCGTCAGATTTTCTGAATTCCATTTCCGAATTTTAAACAGATGACTTGTTTCAATTTCTGCTTCGATTTAAAAAATAATGGATTTATTGCTAATACGAGAGGTTAAAAGGGTTTTATGCGTAAGTTTTATCGTAAATATTGCGTATTTTATTATTTCGTACCATTCGTTAATATACAAAGCCTTATTTCTAAATAAATTAATTTATTTCGACTTGGGGTTTCAGCGGCAAGAATATTTACAATGGATGCTAAAGGTTACGCGGCGCCAAGTGAAAAGTATCTCGCTGTAAACCTCTAGCATGCTGGAGTACGGTGTTGTAATATCAAACTACCTTCTATCACATATTTGATATGCAATCATAATGAGATGAAAAAAATACCAAGGTACCTTTTTTTTTATATTCATTTGAAAATGACCAAATTTACCAAAATACGCTGGACAATTAATTCATCTTACGTGTTTCTAACATTTAGAGACAGATTTTAATAATCAGCATTTGTATGACATTTTTTTTTTCAGTTCTCTATGCTTATGGTTATATTTTATTCATATTTCACCATACATAGTTATCACACCAGCTTAAATTAAAACAAGAGGCCCATGGGCCACATCGCTCACCTGAGCACTAAGGGTAGGAAGAAGTAGAAAATGGCTTTTTATTGTAAAGTTTAAGTCCAAAAGTAGTCCCATGACCAATCATGGATTTGCTATTTTTAAGAAAATGATTTTTAAAGAATTTTCCTATATATATCTTTAAAAAAACTTTGATCGGCCATTTTGGCCCCGCCCTACCCCGGGGGGGGGGGGACATGTTTGAACAAACTTGAATCTACACTACCTGAGCATGCTTCCATATAAATATGATGAATTATGGCTTTGTCATTCTTGAGAAGAAGATGTTTAAAGAATTTTCCTATATATTTCTATGTAAAACTTTGGTCGGCCATTTTGGCCCCGCCCTACCCCCGGGGGTCATGATTTGAACAAACTTGAATCTACACTACCTGAACATGCTTCCATATAAATATGATGAATTATGGCTTTGTCATTCTTGAGAAGAAGATGTTTAAAGAATTTTCCTATATATTTCTATGTAAAACTTTGGTCGGCCATTTTGGCCCCGCCCTACCCCCGGGGGTCATGATTTGAACAAACATGTATCTACACTACCTGAACATGCTTCCATATAAATATGATGAATTATGGCTTTGTCATTCTTGAGAAGAAGATGTTTAAAGAATTTTCCTATATATTTCTATGTAAAACTTTGATCGGCCATTTTGGTCCCGCCCTACCCCCGGGGTCATGATTTGAACAAACTTGAATCTACACTACCTGAGCATGCTTCCATATAAATATGATGAATTATGGCTTTGTCATTCTTGAGAAGAAGATTTTTAAAGAATTTTCCTATATATTTCTATGTAAAACTTTGGTCGGCCATTTTGGCCCCGCCCTACCCCCGGGGGTCATGATGCTTGAATCTACACTACTTGAGGATGTTTCCCATAAGTTTCA